ATCTTTAGAAGACCAGAGCTGGGCTTGTATGATCGACTGATGGTGGAGCTCCACAATGAAGACCCAAGACCCTTCCAGAACTTCATGCGTATGCCTCCAGACATGTTTGACGAGATTGTCCAGAGGCTGACCCCCAGAATTACCAAGAAGACAACCAACTGGAGAGCTCCCCTTGATCCTGGTCTGAAGGTGGCCCTTACCCTTCGTCACCTAGCATCTGGCGCCAAGTACCGTGACATGCAGTATGCCTGGAGGGTCCCCCCACAACACTATCAGCAATGTTGTCAGAGAAGTCTGCGAGGCCATCATAGAGGAGTACCGAGATGAGCAGATGTCACCTCCCACCACTCAAGAAGGCTGGCTGGAACTGGAAAATGACTGGTACCAGAGATGGAACTTCCCCCACGTCATCGGCGCTATTGATGGCAAGCACGTGGCATGCAAGGCTCCCCCTCACTCTGGTTCTGAGTACTACAACTACAAAGGCTTCTTCAGTATCATCCTCTTTGCTATGGTGACGTCTGATTACAAGTTCCTGTGGGTAGACGTGTCTGGTAATGGCTCCTCCTCAGATGCTCATATCTACAACAACAGCGAGCTGCGTGAAGGCCTGGAGCACAACAACATCATGGGATGGCCACAGCCAGAGCCTTTGCCCCACGACACTCAAGATGTGCTATACTTCCTGGTGGGAGATGACGCCTTCAGCCTGAGAACCTACCTGATGAAGCCCTACGGTACCAGGAACCTTTACAGGGAACCAAGAATCTTCAACTACAGGCTGTCAAGGGCCAGAAGAGTGGTGGAAAATGCTTTTGGCATCCTTGCCAACAGATTCCAAGTTCTTCTGAGCACCATGAACCATCACCCTGATAATGTAAGGCTCATCGTCAAGGCCTGTATGCTCCTACACAACCTCATGCGGACTCGGTACCCTGTGCTTCAGAATCGCCTGGTCGATGTGCAAGGCCCGAATGGCAACATGCAACCTGGTGCCTGGCGAGAGGGGAGAAACTTGGAAGACACCCGTGTTGTTCAGGCACCCAACAGAGCATCCAAGGAAGGCAAGAGGCAAAGGAACTTGTTGAGGCATTGGTGCAACTCTCCAGCAGGTGCTGTCCCCTGGCAAGACCGGATGGTGGACGTCTAGACAACCTGGAGTCAGGAGGCTGTTATGTTTTATTGTTATAATGGAATATGAAATAATTTGTATTTTGTATGTTTCTGTATGTTTGTTATATGTAGTATATGTTTATTGTGGTATGTTGAAGAACTTTTTTCATGTTTTGTCTAGTGTTTTGTACTGTACTTCATTTCTTTTAAAGACTATTTATTACAAAATTGATAACACTTCACACCACCATGTCTATTCATATTCACATGTCAAGCATACCAACTTCCACACAAAACAAATAACTAGTAGCTAAAGAAAATTTCATTTATTCAACAATAACAATAACAATCTTCTGCTGCAACTAGTTCTAGTCAGAGTCACTGTCCTTCTCATCACGCTGAGGAGCTGGAGGTGTATTCAGGGACTGTGTGCTGGGTCTGTTGGAGCTGGGGGTCGGCAAGAGCTGGCTGTCAAGGCTGAAGGCGGAGAGGTTTATTGACCCATCGAGAACTTCTTGGCTTGTTTGCAGAAGATTGAAACTGGATGCCGACAAGCGCTGCTCACCAGAAGCAGCAGAGGAAGTGTGACTCTGGCTCTGGTGAGGCTGCTGGTATTGACTAGGCTGCTGCTGCTGGTACTGCTGGTACTGAAGACCTTGATGCTGGTACTGCTGGAAAGGCTGCTGTTGGTACTGAGGAGCCGGCTGCTGCTGGTAGTGAGGATCCTGCTGCTGCTGGTACAGAGGAACTTGCTGCTGTGATTGGTGGAAGACAGGTGGAGCAGACGTGGCCTGGGCAGGTCTTGCAGGCTGAGGAGCTGGAGCAGTGTCCTGGGAAGCAGAGTCAAGGAGATTAGAGATGCAGGTCTTCAGCTGCTGGTATTGCTCTGCTGGTGCTGCACGCAGGCTGTCCGACACATATTTAATGAACACCTCACGCTCAGAGGACTGGGCAGGTTTCTCTTGTATGAGCTGAGCTAGCAGTTTTTGGTTCGCCTTCATGGTGTCTCTCAGCTCTTTCATCCACTCTTCCTCCTGGTCGCCCCTCTCCCTCTTCCTCTTCTTCATGGGTCTGGAACTGTGGCCTGCCTCGGCTGCCTCGGCTGAAGTCCTCTCCACCACCTCCAGGTTGGCATCAAGGGAAGTTGGTGCTTGCTCCTGGTCACTGTCTGGCTCAGAGTCACTGACACGGGCTGGTTGGGTGGACGTGGTCATCTGCAAGTTGACCATGGGTGCTGACTTGGTAGATGGCAACTGGGTCTTGTAAAACTCGCAGTTGTCGATGATGAATTGTTCCCGGTCTGTGTACTTCTTCAATGCCTGGCCAGACTTCACCTTGTTGAGCCGGACATACCAGTCCTTCACAGACTTCCACCAGCCCATGATGTGCTCTACAGACATACCAATCTCAGCAGCCTTGGCACCCCAAATCTCCCTGCGCTTCTTGTAGTCTCGATGGCCCCGCCGCCACGCTGCTTCATGCTCTGCCATCCACTCAAGCAGACTTTCTTCCTTCTCTGCTTCAATGGAGTAGTCATGCTTGGGATTTGCTTTCCCCTTGGACTTGCCCTTGCCCTTGCCCTTGCCTGCAGAGGGTTCAGGACGGTTATCTTCAGCACCAGATTTAGCAGCAGCGTCATCAGCAGCAGCAGCAGCAGGGGGAGCATGCACCTCGGCTTGGATTTCAAGAGCAGGTGGAGGGCTCGGGGACCTGGCGACCTCTTCATCTTCATCTTCAGCGGCATTATTTTCAGTAGGAGCAGGCACAGCATCTACTGGAGCATCTACAGGCACATCTACTGGAGCAGTTGGGGCCTTCCTCTTCTTCTCCCTGGTCTTGGATGGCTGACGGCCTTTCTTGGGAGGCATGGTCTCTTCTCTATAGTATGATGTGGTGGCTTCGACTGTTGAAACGGTAATGCCACACCCCCGTCAGTGCCAGCTTATATATGCGCGGAGCGGATGCGATTGTGACGCCCGTTGTTAGCGGCTCATGAGCGATCCATAAGTGATTCCTGCGTGATTCATGCGCGACCTATACGCAGTTCATTAGTGATAGAGCGCAGGTTATGCGTGGAGCTTTCGTCGTTCACAAACACCTATTGGCCATGTTTGCGGGCTATGCTCTGATTTGCGCTGAAGTGCGTGCTTTGTTAGTGACATTTCCGTAGTTCTTGCGCAATTCATCGGTGATTTTTCATCACGTAAATCAGCAAAAATTGTCAAATTCTCCACTAACAATCACGCACAACCAAATCTTAACAAAATGTTTACGTAATTCATGCGTTTTGGGCAGTGTGACCATGCCTTTACGGTAGTCTAGGTTGCCCTCTTGAGACTGTGAAACGCATGCGCAGTTAGTCTATGTCGACCTGGAGCATGAGGTCCACTGTTCGTTAAACTAGTCCATGCATTTGTTACTTCAAGGCTGGATTATTGTAACTCCTTATTATCAGGGTGTACCAAGAAGTCAGTCAAGTCGCTTCAGCTGATTCAAAATGCTGCAGCTCGTGTACTAACCAGAGTTAGGAAAAGGGACCACATTACTCCTGTTCTGGCTGCCTTACACTGGCTCCCTATAGAACACAGGATAGAATTTAAAATTCTTCTTCTCGCCTACAAAGCCTTTAATGGGCAGGCGCCATCTTACCTTAAAGAACTCATTATACCCTACTGTCCTACTAGGGCATTGCGTTCCAAGAATGCAGGGTTGTTGGTTGTTCCTAGAGTCTCTAAAAGTACAATGGGAGCCAGAGCCTTTTCTTATCAAGCTCCACATTTGTGGAATCAGCTTCCAGTTTGTGTTCGGGCGGCAGACACCCTATCCGTTTTTAAGAGTGCGCTTAACGGCCCGTCCACACAGCGGCGTGCGTTGACGCTTGCCGGCGGGCGTGTCTGACACTCGACCAACAACCAATCACATGAATCTCCCGCCCCTGACACACAAGCAGCGGTTTGATTGGCTAGAGCTTGTACTGGCATATGATTCGATTGGCTGACGCTTCTGCCGAGGCGTCAAAAGTTGAACATTGCTCAACTTTTGCAGCGAGCCACGCCAGCAACGCTCCGCGTCGCTTCCCACGATGCAGTTCGGCTAAAAGTGACGTCACCCCATTCAAAGTGAATGGGCAGAAGCGTTGGAAGCTTCAACGCACGCCGCTGTGTGGACGGGCCGTAAGACCTTCCTTTTTGATAAAGCTTATAGTTAGGGCTGATTAGATTCAGCCCCTAGTTTTGCTGATATAGGCTTAGTTTGTCGGGGGACATCTTACTTCTTCCTTCTCTCTGTCTATACCTGTGTACTCTCATGTTCCGATTAACCCAGCTTCCCCAAATGTCTTTCTTTTTGGTGTCTATATACGCCGGGATCCGGAGTTGTGTGTGTGTGTGTGTGTGTGTGTGTGTGTGTGTGTGTGTGTGTGTGTGTGTGTGTGTGTGTGTGTGTGGTGTGTGTGGTGTGTGTGTGTGTGTGTGTGTGTGTGTGTGTGTGTGTGTGTGTGTGTGTGTGTGTGTGTGTGTGTGTGTGTGTGTGTGTGTGTGTGTGTGTGTGTGTGTGTGTGTGTGTGTGTGTGTGTGTGTGTGTGTGTGTGTGTGTGTGTGTGTGTGGCTTCAGTGGAGATGGAAGGCTCCTCTCTGCTCTGCCCCTCTGTGATTGATGATAATTGAACAGCTGATTTGTTTTGAACATGAATGCTTGAATGTCTCCAGATGGCGTTCTCCATGACAGTTGAATTTCATGTGGATTGAATTTGTACATAATAGCTTAAGTACAGTGCATTTTCATTATCTCCAAACAATTGTGAAATGTTTTTTAAATGGGGGGCATTTGGATCAGCAAGCCAGGCAATACTGCTTCCTATAAAAGTCTGCTGTTTTCCTTTTCTATAGCTCTACTTGGCAATCAGAAGTGTCTGCCCCCCCCCGTCCCCGTCCCGTCAGGGTCCATTGATTGCATCATACAGTAATCAGCCCTCATTCACAGCCTTCACCTGTCGGCACCAATAGCTAATAAAAGGAGTTCTAAGCGCCTTTAATCACAGTAGACCAGACAATAATAGACCTGCTCATGTTCTGGCTGTTGTTGCACTTGTTCTTAAAGATTGCATTTCAGAATAGAGAGGAGACAGGTTCAACTGCCCTTTAATTTTCACCCTTATTTGTTCAATATATTTTGACATCACCCTTCTTTTCCTAACGTATACTACTGCTTTTCTAATGCAGCAGCATGTCACAATTAAATCTTTAAGTAACGGATACTAAATCATTGTTCTGACGTATTACATGGTGTCATTCATTTCAACATACCATTTCTATGTTGTTGTGTTCTTTCGATATACTGTACTGTCATCATTTGCACATAATATAATATACATTTTTTCCTATGTTTGTTTTTTTTGTGCATATTTTTGACATACTAACCTGTTGTTTTGGGCTCATTTCCAAAATACTTACTATGTATACTATACTATATATTTTTTTTTTTTGTGCCTGTTTTTGAAATCCTATACAATCTCTTTTTGTTGCATACTTTTGACCTAATGTTTAGATTTCTTGCATATTGCCAACATACTATATTATGCAGTTTTTTCCACATTTTCGACATACAACACTGTTTTTTTTGTCTGAAATGTTTGACACTCCAAACTGTTGATTTTTGCATATTTTGCACATACTATACTAAGTTTTATTTGTGCATGTACAGTATACTGATAAGACCAACCCTAACCTTGTTCTCCTCTGCCTCCGTGTGTTGTGTAGGTCCACCCCTGCAGCGTGTGCTCTACGGTCAGCAGAACTCAGCTGCTGCTGGAGTCAGCTGCTCTCCCTCTCTACTTCCTGTGCAGCATCATGCTAATCCTGGCCAAGGTTTTCCTGATGCTGGATTCTACAGTCAGTGTAGGTACAGCACACAGTCAGCGACACTTCCCAAGCGTTTTGGTGTTATGACACTGTCTTCTGTTTCTGCTGACAGACCCATTGCCCCCTGCAAACCCGTGGCTTTCACAGCGAGTTCACCCCCAGGCCAGAGCCCCCTGGTCACAGGACGACTCCATGTTAAGTCCAGGTATGACGCTTTCTCTCTGTTATTGTTATGGTGTCAGCTGTAGCATGACATGACACTGTGAGGATGTGGCACAGAGACGTTTGCATTACCCAGCAGCATGTGCTCAGTAAATACATTTGCTTTGCACTGACCAACTCAACTCACTTCTATAATATGTACCATCAGAGTCAATAACTCTGTAACAACAGTTAACATGGAAAATGTTATGGAAATAATAAAAGAATATATTAAAGCTCCATGTAATGCTCCAAAACAGACCTTTGTTTATTTCCCTGCACCCCATCTCTTCAATAAGCAACTCCAAGAAATGTGACAATATATGGATTAGGCAGAACTTCGAAAACCTTCACTCATCAATGTTGGTATTTAGTGTTTGAACTTGGTTCTGAGTTACTACATGTCTTAGCCGGCCATGCCATGTATACGTTTATTTCCAGATGAGGCAGGCTCCTCAGAAAAACCACCAGATTGAGTTCCCTGGATCAGAGTTTCCTGTCCATCTCTTCATTGTTAAACTGTCCAATAATCGTATTATGATGCCATTCGTTTTCCTGTTTTATTTGATACTTTCACAACTTACATTAGATTTTCTCCTGTATTATTTTAGGTTTGAAAAAACGGAATTGTTGTAAACAAACGATCTATCTCCGTGCTTGGTGTGTGTGGAGAGGCCAGGCCACATAATGAGGATACAAATGATGTATACATGAATTTGACTATATGGAAAACATTGACTGGGAGTCAATGGCCAACTCCCCAAATGAACTCATCGAAATCGGCAATAAGACGTTGGTGCAGCTTTAGAAAAATATATTTTTTAAGCGGTGCATCATACATTCACACAATGATTCCAATCAAGATTCTTGTTTAATGTTTCCCATGGGCAGAGATCCACACCCTTGTAGAGAGGATGCTATGTAAGTAATAACACCAACTGAAAGCTGCTCATTATCTCATGAATGCCAATGGTCCAGCAGTGAAACGTAATGATTGTGGTCTTTGTGTCCAGGTGGAGGTTTGAAGTTCCTTCCTCCTTCCAGACAAGATGATCACTGTATGAGGAGGGGGAGGCCTAACTTCAGGAGTCACCCATACCCCCCCCATCCTTCCCCGGGTGACACCCAGGCACCCTACGCACGGATGGTGAGCTGCAGACACAGAAACCCCTCACAGCAGGGACTCAGGACGAGTCTGATGACGTGTCACTGTGAGGAAACTGTGCAGAGAAGAGGACGAGTGAATTTGAAGTCGCAGGCTGTTTCTGGATGTCACTCAGATTTGTAATTAAGGGTTGCTTGGAAGCACACAATACCAGCATTAGAATACACAGATCAGATTGTTCCCCAATCAAATTAGAATTTAGGATAATGGGATTCATACAAGATGTTTTTGACACAAGACTGATAAACCTTTTTTGCATCCTGTCTGACTAATAGGAAATCCTCAGTGCTGTAGCTCACACACACACTGAGCCTGCTCATCGCTACAGAGGCCTTCAGGTCTACTAAGTCTAATCTACTGCTCTCCGTATCTAATGCCTTGATCTGTAGCCTCTGGCAGTCAGCCAGCCACAGGTACAGCGAGCTCGTTCGGAGCAGCACAGTCAGCATTGACCTAGAAATGTGGACAGCCTTTTCAGCCGATAGAAGTTTTTACAAATCAGGCTTCACATACTTTTATGAGAAGAAGAAGAGAAGAAAGCCAACTTGTTAAAGTTGGCTTCAGCCAGTCTCACTGCTCGACAACCTGAACTTGAATGAAGAACAAAAATGAAAACACATATCAGTATTGAGCACTTGTTTTATACTTCTGCTCGTTTGTTGTTGTTGATTGAACCTGAATGATAATGCTAGAGTTTTCTGTGATATGGAGCCACAGCATGTTTTCCTGATTGCACTAAAGAACTGAAACCATTTTCTGCAATGTTTTTTTTGATAATATTTCAATTTTCAATTTTCTCCATTTTTGTATTTGTTTTAATATTTCTTAAAGGCTCTTATTTATTTCATTTGATCACCCCTATAATGTACTTTTCTTTTGTTTAATAAATCATCGTGTTGAATGCTCAACTAGTGTGAACAACGTCCAGGGTGTCTTCCTATAGATATTTGGCGTTTCCAAGCTGCCTGTAATATTTCCAAGCTAATTCTAAAAACATGTTCTGTTTTGTCTTCCTTCATGGTTTTCAATTAAAATATTATTTCAGAATAATTGGTTCATTATTTTTTCATTGTATCTGTGTTGAAAACTAACTTGAAATAGTAGGGCTTTTCCCTTCTTTTTTTTAGATGGTGTAGCTGAAGATAGACGGAAAGGGGGGGGGGGGGGGTGGACAGGGGGGACCCTGCTCTACCAGGTGAGCCCCAAATATATATTTTTTTATAAAGTGATCGGCTAAATATGAATAAAGGTTTACAGTTGAACACTGTCCGGCAGCTGATCATCAGATCTCCAGATGTGAGCAGGGGTCCGGCCCCCCGTGAGTCACAGCCCACTGACTCAGGAGCCCAGCGGCTACAAAGCCCCCCCCCCTCCCCCCTCCCTTTGTCTCAGCTCGATCTGCTTCCTCCTGATATCCATCTCTGTCTGTGTGTGGGGGTTCATTCCTACCCGTCCTCAATTACAGCCCGTAAATGTCAGGCTGACTCTTCAGGCGGTTAGCGTGGGGCTCGCGGGGGCAACGGCTCCGACGTGACGGGAATCTGACCGACGACATTTCCATACACAAGTGTGTGTGTTCATTAGGTGAGAATGTGAGTGCAGGTCCAAGGGGGGCGGTTGCCGTGGATCTTATCAGCTTTCTTTCTAGATAGGCTACTTGCTGGGACATGTTATGAACACAGATTATGCTGGAGCTTTTTCCTAAAATGATGAATGTGCTTTTGATGAGTGAAATATAAATCAAAGAATATTTCAGAAGATATTTGTTGATTCTGGGAATTTATTTTCAAATGTGGGTGAATACAGCGTTTGGGAGGCAGCTGGGAGGACAGGTTGTGTTATGGCGCGTTTCCACTGCAGCGGGGTAGCCCCGTTTAAGCGTCCTCGCTCTGGCCTCGGGCTGCCTCGCTGGCCGTGGCGCATTTCCATTACAGTTTAGGACCTGGGGTAGCAACGCAGTGTAGGCGGGGCGATCGGCTTTGTTTTTGTTCACATTTCGAGTTGTTCCGTCGAGCTCCCGCTGGATTTGATCATCCCCAAGGAGATGTAGGAACGTCGTCACCTCCTCGGTCGACCACGGTGTGCTTTTCTTATTAGACGTAGCCATTTTTGTAGCTCATCCGTTTACAAAATGCTGTTTATAAAAATGCTGCAAGCTTGCTTCTAGATATATATGCGACGCTAGGGATGAACTCGCGCGCGATCTTGTGACGATTCTCTCTGACCAATCAGCAGTCGAGAGTGTTGACGTCACTAGTTCAGCCCTGGCCCTGGTCTGAGGGAACCACGATTTTATGAGGCCGGAAAAAGAGGGAAAAAGTACCCGCTGGCCGGTACTAGGCTATATGGAAACGCCACCAAAAACCGGCCTGGCCGCTTGAGGACGGTTAAGGACGCTTAAACGGGGGCTACCCGCTGCAGTGGAAACGCAATGTTTTATCTTGACTATATTACAACTATATTATAATAAAATATAGTATTTATATTATTGAATTGATTATGATTATTATTAGTAGTAGAAGTAGTTTATTTGCATTAATTATATTTTAATCTTTTTGAGGCTAGTATTTGGCAGGACATGCAGACGTATTCACCTGTAAACGCACACTGAACGACATAAATGCACATTTACCATTTACCTCACTGTATACAAAGTAACTGTGTTGATAATAATAATAAACAGGAATTATATTTGCAAAGTAGCCTACTTTGTTTCCAAAAAAATGTGTTTCACTCCTGTCGGTTGGGGGGGGGCCTCATCTCACAATGTCGCTTGGGGCCCCAAGTTGGCCAGGGGCGGCCCTGGTCGGTATATTTGAAACTGGACAGAGCAGGCTAGCAGTTTCCCTGATTCTAGTCTGAGCTAGGCTAGAGGTGCTCATATTGATTTGAAAACATCTTTCAACTTGTGTAATTCAATCTTCACTTGTAAAGATGAAAAGAGGCTCTGGATCATTTCCATACTGGAGGTCTTTTTATTGTTGACATGTATTGGACACAGTGTGTGTAACTATTGAACATGTTAATATGGAGCGTGGCCCTGAGATGGATCTCCGGAGTGATGCTGTTGAATCTTTGCAGCTCCGCCGGGTCAGCACTGCTTTGAGCCTCGGCCCCTACGTCTGGGTCCTGGGGCCCCGCTGGGAGCTGTCGGCCAGGTCCACCAGTAATTGGACGGTCTGAGCCAGCCGACTCAGCCCCTCGTCCTCCGTGATGAGTTGGGGGGAACACAAGGAATCCTGGGAAGAGAGGAAGAAACATGTACAGATGCAGGTAGGCTTTATAAATACTGTATGATTCATGCAGACGTGCACATGCTTGGACACATTAATTAAGGGGTAGAATTTGCTGCTTTTACCTCTGTTGGAACCCAAAACACGCCTTCTGTGAATATCAGTATGTGCCTTGTTGCTTCCAAGTTGTTTTCAACACATCAAACGAAACAAGCCAGCTGCTAACTCTCAGCTCCAATATGAAGCCTGGCTTTCTGAGTGAGGATTCTTCTAAAAAGTTCTATTTAGACTACATCTGCAGTCATATTGCTCACAATATATACAATTATGCCCAAAGATTTTTGGGCAATTTCCTGAAATATTATATTTCCTTAATGATCAACTAAACATGAGTAGGCTATCACTCTTTCAGCGATCATGGAGGCGTGTCAGGAGCCATGGCTTATATTAGTTGACGGATGCTACATTTACAAAGAATTGTTCAATTTGGACTTACAAATAAATGAAGAATAAATTATATTAATCTTTCTCCTATTATTAAAAATCCTGGATTCCAATCTGGATAACATGTGTCCCCATGTGGCGCCCCACCCTGTAAACAAGTAGGTATTATCTGTTACAATAAATATTGATGATGAAGTCACATGATCTTAACCCTTTGGCTGTGAAATGTATTAGATTGTATTAGCTTGTAAACGGAGAACATGAGGCCAGCTGCTGGTGAAGGGTCACACGCTGACAGGACGTGCTCAGTGGCATTCCCTGGAAAAGCATGTCATTTCAGTCCAGTGGATATCACAAACACGACACACTGTTGGAGTGTTTATTGCCTTCAGGGCTGAAGTGGAAAGCTATTAAACCCGAGTTACTAAAACAACTTCGCTTTGAAACAAGAAACCTTGTGCATCAGAACAAGCACACACTCACACTGTACAGGAAGGAGGGTGGTGTGTTTAATGGAAAAGGGTGTGTGATCGGAATCATAACGTGTTTGTGTCATTCAAACCGTGGCAGTCATGAACTCTGCAGGTGTGCATGTGGGCTGTGTGACTGAGTAGCTAAAGGGGAATGGATACACACTTTTCAATGGAAGCCTCCTGTCCCAGAGCACCCTGGATCACTTGATGCTAGCCAGCTGAATCATGCAGGCAACTAGGTTCCTCAGGCGTGGTTTGATGATGTCATTACCTAGAGGAGGTTAGTGCATCACTAAAGAACAACTGCCAAAGATACAGTGTATATATATATAAAATAAACAAATTTGATATATCACTTGATCCCTACAATCGTTACACTGCAACATATTCAAGTAACCCTCATATTTATTGGATACGTCTTAACGCTGCTTCCTCGTGTATTAAATCCCTGATGTGCTGTTAGGTGTGCAACAGCTCCTGGTTCCATCAGAAACATTTCACTTTTCCCCACGGTGCCTTTTTGGGATTTTCCCTCTTTAATATAACTTTGATAACAAATCATTTCATTCTTTTTTCCAATCCCATTGTTTGCCAATTTTGACATTAATATTTAGACTAGAACTTTTTCTCTTATTCTCTAAACGTGATGTATACCTGAACATGTCTCCAGGTTTGAAGCACTGAAAATGCAGTCTTGTGTCAAATCAATAAACGATTATTTTAAACAGGTCCAAGGAAACCCCAGTATGAGTCTGCAACTATCAATGAACTCACAGGAACATGTGATAAACAAAGCCAAGGATCCACAATGTCTGGATTCTCAAACACAGCCCCCGGAGAACAGATGTCTTATTTATCTCAACTATTGTCACTAAAACAGAAGAAACTTGTACCATCAAACATTATTTAGCTACACACGACAAATGACCATCAGACTGCACCACATGGGATTTCAGTGATAGTAATACATGTAGTGAGTTCAGCTTGAACAGATAGGTGTCACAGCTGCTGTTTGGAGAGCACACAGGAGCTTTTAGAGGTTAGGGCACAGGGCAAAGTGGACATCAGGATATCTGCACGCTGCTCAGACTTCAACCAGCTGAGAAATGGACTGAAAACTCCTCAAATCATTAGATCAGGATAGGGCTTACACAATGACTGTATTGGTTTCCAATTCCAACAATAACGGTTCTATCATAGTTGTGCATTTAGAGAATAAGTCTGGTGTTATTCTATCTTTTTCAGTTTGTCTCGAAATCTCATGAAAAGACCAACAGTCTGTTCCCTCTGAGCTCTGAGTGCACTGGAGACATTTAGAACGGGGGGAGGGTTTGCCACTTAGGCCTCTGCCTGCAGAATCTTTATCTTGTAACAACACAACTTAGTGTTTGAATTCACACTGGAGGAAACCCAAATCTTATCTGTGTGAATCATTTGTATTGGAATTGTTGGGTTGGCTCATTGCTGCCACCTTGTGGCTAGTGTGGAGAACTGGAACCAAATGCAGTGTGTGTGCAAACAGAAGTCATTTGAAAGAGTCCCTTCTCCTCTACATCCCAGATAGCAACTCAGCTCTGTGGAGCTCCTCTTCAGATGTTTTGCTTTGCGATATGGGCCAATTTAAGTTAAGTGCAACTTTGGTACATTCAGCGGGTCTGATTTAAATCCTGCATCCTAATCTAAAACTAGTGCTCTAGCTTTCCAGCAGACGTTCAGGACTGGAGCATCAGGGCACATGGAATACATGTTGGTAGACTCATTGAATGTCACCAGACTTATCCTTTGACAAACATTAGCTTGAAATTAAAATCCTACTTGTTTTGACATTAAATATGTTTATACTTGGGGACCTGATGAGCAGAAAGCACGAGTCAGCAGAAGGCCTGGTGAACAGCTGTGAGTGGACCTTGTGTCTGTGAGGCAGCTGCAGACACCCTGATGAAGACCACATTAAAGAGTTCTGCTGAGTAAGCCAAAGCACAGCAGGCAAGCAGACAAACAGCACACGGTCAAAGTTCATTTTTTAATAATTTCTTTACAGCGGAGGGAAAACACCTTTACATATAGCTTTATATAAACTCAAAAAAGAATCTCAATAATACAAGGGTATCGTATAAATATAAAATACAACTGCAATTCTGTTCCGCTAACATATCAAAGCATGTAGCTTGGTCTAAGCCAGTGAAAGATTACCGATGAAGCTCATCCAGTTTCATTTATAAAATCTACATTTGAATTGAAACAGTATAACATTTCCTTTGAACAGCAGGCTAGTAAAGAACTTGAGACGGGAGCGTGACTTGAGAAGATGTGGACTAAAGGAACCAGTGTGCATAAGGACAATTATAAAATACAATTGCAATATCGACAGAATAGCTTTTTCTATTTGGGGCCCCAAAGTGTTTAATATTAAATACTTTATGAAATAGATATTTGTAAATGTATTGTGTGAAAAAACGTTTAGAAATCTAAACTTGTGAGATGTTATTTCAGAATTCTTACAAGTTTATAGTTGTAGACATTTATTTCAAAAGTTTAATGGCAATTTTTCCAGTGGTACTGCCCCTGCCTTTGAGCAAACTGGCTCAACAACTCCCAGCCAGTTAGCTTGAGAAGCAAACGTGCTAAAGTCCTTCTGAATAAAGCAACAAGAGGTCTGCAGCAGGCGCTGGATGGAGACCACCGTGCTGCTGTGACTTTATGGAAGAAATACAAGTGCACAAATGCTGTGAAATATAGTTTTGAAAAAGGATATTTTGCGTTAAAGCTTCTATGATGACATTCTATTCAACTTTATTAGGAAAAAACAGCTTCCGTATTAATCATTAATGTTTTTTAAGATTGGTTAATTTGCATATTTTAAACAATTGATTTAATATTGAACACTTTGAGCAGGACGATTTCTCCTACAAATGGAGCCTTACGCAGTGGGCCCAACAGTCGGTTGCTGTATGTTATGTTGGTCCCCACTTTGACACGTTTTTCCATATGTTTGAGATAAGATTACAAATCCATTTGCAGATGTGGTGCTTTCATGTGTGAGTCCTAGTATCTCACTGGATATAAGCTTTCAGTCCAATAAGCGTCACAATTATATTCCAAGCTGTTTGGATGCAGACTGACCTTCTATGAGCAGCCAGGTAGAACCAGCAGAGGCATTTGATGCTCGGGTAAATGTCCTCCAGGGAATCAATCATTTGCCAATCAAATGAAGGGGGACACTTTTAAACAATCAATGTTGTTTTAATGCTGAATAATTAAATATTAATCACATTAAATTGGCCTGTGTGTGATTGAAAGCACATACATTGATTTTACAAAAGGCTGAATTAAATTAACGCCTCTGCCGTTTCACCTGAAACAAAATAACCAATAACAGAATTCTAAATAAATAAAAAGAAATAATTTAATAGCCTGTTTACATTTATACAAGTCACCTGGTCAAACTGACCGATGACAACAATAACAAAATGTACACTCACACACCCCCTTGCAGGGGTTTGTACCGTTTGGACACGTGAAGCCCGACATCGCCCCCTGCTGCTCACGGTTAGCACAGCAGACATTAAAAAGGGGCAGAAGGTGCGAGTGTTCAGAGAGAGGCACTCCGCATCTGTCTCACTGGAACAGCTGAACATTGAGCCAACATGCATTCGGTTCAAGGCTAAATGTCACATTCACATTCAGTTGAAGGTTCCTTCAGCTTCTCTCAGGGAGGGGTCTGACTACGGACACACAGCCGGGGACCAACATGTCTGAGAGGTGGAGCTGCTCTGAACACACAGATCATCTCAAAGGGAAACATCTTCCTATACACCTGTCTAATCTGTTTTAGGTGTTATACTGTGATCGCCTGACCCCCCGTTAGGACCCCCTCAGAGTGATGTTACCTGATCTCCACTTTCTACTTGGTGAGTACAATGCCGTCCATTACGGTAAAACTAATGGCCACGTTTTTTCTTAAGATCCACCCAACTGTAATACACTTAGACACAATGTTGGTGTGCATGTTGGCGGTTTAGATGCTCCGCCTCTTTAACTCCAGTTGCTAGCTGGTGACCACAGCTCTGAGTGGCTGGAGACCAAACCAGAGCTAAGAGGAGAGTTGAAATGGCTTATATCACTTCATAAGGTGATAATGTCCCATTTTTGTTTACAGCTGGATGCACTGCCACCAAGTGGCCAAGAACATCTATTGCGCCCCTGTATATAGTTGTGCTCAGAAACCAACACTGCACAGCTGCATGTTGAGAGAGCAGCAGATTCTTACAGTTTGAACCATAAGGCAACGCCTCACGTGTCACCATGTTAAGTTATTTGTACAATGTGCCATATTCAAAAAAATTCCAGGGTGGATATTGAGGTGTGAGCCACAAATGATTTGGCTTTAAAATGTTCCTAATGGCTGCAGCTTCAATGCACATAAACCCAGATTGGTAAAAAGACCCAGGTCATAGAACGTCTGCGGTTCCTCTGTGTGTGTGTGGAGCAGCTCCACCTCTCACTCCTGTAAACATGCTGTGTGTCTCAGAGTGAAGGCTAACCGAGGCTAAGGCATCTCCCTGCTCATGTAGTGTGTGTATCACCGTAGTGCTTTCTGATGAAGAGCTGAAGTGATTCTGCTGGTTCTGAAGGAGCTCGCTGCCTGCTCTGTGTCAGTGCAGCTGTGGGGTGTGGACACACACTCAGGACATGTGTGCATACTGAAACACACTGCAGAGTATTGTCTGAGAGGCCCAGTGTGGCAGCAGCTGTGTGAGCCTCACTCTCCCTGTGACTGTGTGTGTGTGTGTGTGTGTGTGTGTGTGTGTGTGTGTGTGTGTGTGTGTGTGTGTGTGTGTGTGGTGTGTGTGTGTGTGTGTGTGTGTGTGTGTGTGTGTGTGTGTGTGTGTGTGTGTGTGTGTGTGTGTGTGTGTGTGTGTGTGTGTGTGTGTGTGTGTGTGTGTGTGTGTGTGTGTGTGTGTGTGTGCAGAGCAGCAGTGAATATGAAGTGTGTGTGCTGCTCCTCTAGGGGAGCAGGTAGCAGTACAGGACGTAGAGGAGGGCCATGACGGCGCAGTAGAACAGCAGGAAGTCTGTGGACAGCAGTGAGGAGGAGGAGGGCGATGGCGACGAAGGTGAGGAGTGGCGGGGGGACTGGTCCTCCCCCGTCTCCCCCCCCCCAGCAGCCAGCAGGGCCCTCACACAGCGCAGCACAGCGGGCAGCTTACACAGAAGCACATCAGAGCACACACACACGTCCCTCTGCACAGGGGACGAGGACACAGGAGGAAATACAGGAAGTTATTTTGTTAAAACTAGGAGACAAGAGAAGGACACAACAGAGAAAAGATCACACAGAACAACAGTTAGGGTTGGACTGGTGCGTGGGCCGTCAATACACATTTGATTTCGTACAAAAAACGTTCCAACACACCAGTCCAGCCCTGCCAGGAATCATTGAGCAACAAAACTGAGCTTAAAGCACATGAACAATTCTGTTTCACTTGACTTCCTTTTTCAAACATGTTGTCATTTAAACGTATGTAAAACACTGCAGAGATGTAACGACAGGACAGTGAGAAACAGACGGTTACCTCAGAGACTCCCAGCTTCCTACACGCAGAGAGGAAGTTCTCCACGTTCAGTCGACATTTTGCTGAGCTCAGTTTTGGCTGAAAATAAATTGTATAAAATAATGTATTATTACATGGGGAGAAGAATAATCATATGTATTCAGAGCACTCACTGTTTCCTCTGTATATAGAGATTATCCTTATAAATGATAGCACATTATTTCTGCTGAGCTATCACTGTGAAAGCTGTCACTTCCTATAACAGGTGCTGATGGACTTCATGCCTGGGAAGGGGACACAAACTGAACTCAGGTCAGTTGGGTTATAACAGCACAGATCATGCTAACCGTCCTTTCTCTCCCTTTCTGCTCACTTTAAGACCACTGTTTGAATCCTGCGTTAACAGTATGTTCAAATGGGCAGATAATATTACTTTTTGCACACAAACAATTTGTGCAAGTTAAACAGTTTTGAGAGCATGACAACCCTTTTTTTGAACGTTGACAGGCAGGATAAAAGGCCCATTGTCCCATGATTCTCTTGACTTTCAGTGACTGCAAATACATGTAATCAACCTGCTTCAACATAGTATAACATTAAAGAAGAAATGCAAACTGACACAACCAAAAATGTCTGCCTAAAGCCAGCTAACATTAGCCACCATGAGCTAGCAGCAAAAAAGTACTACACTAAGAAGTTGTGTTTTATCACAGTTATTGAAGGAACAGGTGATGGGAGCTGCTGTGGAGGCAGACAGCCCAGACACCACTCACCACTGCTGGGGAGGGGACGTGGATGATGGACACGGAGCGCACTCTGATCTGGTTCACCAGCTGGCAGAGCACCGTGCCGTTAGTCAAGGCCTCGCCCAGATCCTCCGGCAGGGAGACCTTCAGACGGGACTCCAGAGTCTGGGGGGGGGGGGGGGTGAAGTCAGAACTTTAATGAAAAGACTGGCACAGCATTTAGACCCAGGATTCTACACCATGTGTGTCAAACTATTATACATACTGGAGTTTCAGATCTGCCCTCAGATCATCCACACATTTTACAATAGATATATACAAATATATCAAATGTATTAAAACAAGTGTTTATGCTGTGTTTACCTTGCGTAGTTGTGTGATGTCGGCCCTCTCCTCTTTAGGAGAACGCAGCATGGTTCGAGACTCGCTCCTGCCAGACTCCCCCAGAGTGAACACTGACACGCAAGGTAAGTTTATTTATATAGCACCTTTCAACACAAGGCAATTCAAGGTGCTTTACAAAAATGAAAGACATTCAGACAAAGGCATTTAAAAACAGTAAAAGATAATAAAAGAAACATTAAAGTTTCAGTGCAGTCTAAGATGTGAATAGTTCAATTAAAAGCAGCGACAAAAAGAAAAGTCTTCTTGCTGGATTTAAAAGTAGTCGCAGCGGACCTGCAGGTTTCTGGGAGTTTGTTCCAGATGTTTGGAGCATAATAACTGAACGCTGAGACACAAGCCACAGTGTTGGAATGTCTCCACAGCGTTGAAGGAAGGTGTAAAGCGTGTGTGTTGTGTTGGTGTGTACCTGTGGGTTTGACGTTGGTGCGGGAGGAGGTGCGGAACAGGAAGCTGTTGGGTCTCTGGGTCTGACCGGGGGGGGAGGACGGAACATCTGACACAAACAAACTCAATGTCACACATTGTATGAAAGGCACATGTCTATCTCACTAAATGTGGCATGACAACAAAAGTGTTTTAGAATATTCTGCCACAATCCCATCAGAGTAGGTGAGGAGGACACAACAGGAAAAAGCCTCTGAAGGTGTTCTGCTAACTATTGATTGTAATATAAAGTATCAGAATAATACAAATAAAAAAGACCTTAAGTTCACCGATCAATAGCTCATACCATTTTGTTATGAGACTTTTTTTCTATATCCATTTATCAATGACTGTTTAATCTCAATAGTATCTAAGTGTGCAGTCAGTTGTATGCTAGTCTCACCAGTAAGTTGACTGGTAAGTTAATGGGCATTTTTAAATATTGAATATTTAAGTTTTTACAAAGCAAAGTTTGTAACAGCACCAGCCTCTCTCCTTTTATAAATGCTAAATATCTGTAGATCTCTTAGTGACAGGATCTAAGTGTCCTTAACTAAAACAATATGTAGTTAATAATATAGGAGCTACGTCTAATCATTTAGCTTGTGAACAATGTATTGTAAAGTGTTATTACCTGCTGTATGTCATAATACTAATACATTATAGACGGTTGTGTGTACCTGATCTGCTGCTGGAGCGCTGCAGAAGTGTTGGAGGAGGCGCTGCGCTCATCTGATCAGCACTCTGTGGAAAAGGAACACGGTGAGCTTTCATCAGTGATCTGTGCAGCTCCTGCTCTGTGTATGATGAAGAGAGATCAGTACTCACTGCACAGCGCTGCCGGAGCCCTGACAGAGAGCTGCTGCTCTCTGGAGATCCACCACTAGGGGGAGACACACAGCAACGTTTCATCACTACAGGAAACACTTCCCACACCCTCAAACCCACTCCTGCATCGACTCAGAAGGATGGATGGAAGTGACTATAACTTGAAGAGTCACTCAAATCAGCCTTGTCTTTACTTAGTTTATTAATTCTTCAGGGCTTACTTACGCTGAGCTACTTCCTGTCTGTGGTGCAGGGGCCACATGACTTCCTGTTTTGGTGGATGACTTCAGCAAACTGCAAATGTAGAGGTTGGACATGGAGAGCGTGTTGTTAGAGATGACAGACAGAAGGGAGTTGCCTCTGACAGAGAGACGTTCATTAGTGTGGAGATCAACACATGACCACCGATAAACGCTCATGTTCACAGTGTTTAAAGTGTTAGCAGGAGATAAAGTAGCATTTATGTTGCTAGTGTCATGTGATATACCCGGTCAATGCATTCAGACACTTCTACCCTATGTAAGAAGGCATTGAAAGCTCCCTCTGCTGTGATGAAGGGCTCACACCCTGCAGGTAAATGCTGATTAGCATTCTGGTTTTCTAACATCACAGAGATGTAGATCTTAAAGATGAATCCACCTGGCCTTGTCCCTCTGCTGCTGCTGCAGGCGCTCTCTCTCCTGCCAGATGAACAGGGTGCCCGGCCTCCTGCGCTCCTCCAGGGAGGGGCTGGAGGGGGACAGGGGGGAGGCGGAGTTCGATGATGGGGGGCCCACGTCCACATGGAGGCTGGACCTGGGGGAGAAAGAGTTGGAGAAAACTAAGTCAATATTTCTCCCAGTCATTACTGCCGAGTCCACTGTCAGCTGCAGGAAGGAGAGGAATACATGAGGAGGTACTGTTGCCAGATGTGACTGACAGCTCATCGCCCAATCACAGCCTCAAAACCAACTACTAGAGAATGCCAAATGTGGTTTTTTTGTTTTTTTGTTGGGTGGACACATTTCTTTTGAATCTGAACTTTGTGTGTGATACAATAACTGGTATGATGATATGATATGTTAGATTAACCACTTAACATTGATAACAAATGGCTGTAACATGTTATAGGGGTAACAAATTCATTCTGAGACACCCCCAGTCAGGAGTCCAAGCTGTAGTAAATATTAAACAATTTGATACAAATGTATTTAGGTGACTCAAAATATACTATGTACCTATATGTGAAGATTGTACCTGAGCTGGATCCATTCACAAGCAGTGTTAGAACAACTAGAAAATAAATCAGGAAACCAAACCAAATAAGCTCGTCTAGGGATTTCCTCCTGTATTCTGTAGGTGGGTTTACATGAAATCATTTTATAATCATTTCAGTATAAAAGAGGGGTCAGAATGTGTGTGTTCAGCTTCCATTTTAAGACTCAGTGCTCTATTTTTAGGAGTCCCTAAGGAAGTGTTGGAAGTCAAAATTCGGAACATCCGTTTGTTTGAGGCGATTGTACAGTGTTTAAAGAGGACATGCAGGATAGAGACAGCTGAACTCCATCTTCCTCAGACAGTCACGTAAGCACGTCTAAGTCCTGTATACTGTATGAGCATTTGACAGGGTACAGGTTCTTTTAAAAAGGTAATAGAACATGCTGCGTATTGCTCCAGAAGCTGAGGACTATGGCTCTTGTCTCACATGTTGATATGTAGCCAATAGGACTGCTACTCAATCTCAACAACAGAGAACAGAGCAGCGTGCTGAAGCTGCCTCAACAGCAACACAAGAACATGAGGTGTATGTTTATAAAAAATAAAATGCTGCAATAATTGTTATGTTTAACCTAAGAATCAGCCATTTTGCTCCACTTTATTCCTTTGCTCTGACTCCATGCCAACACATGTAGTGGTGTCTAGGAGCTTTCCTCTGAAAGCTTTCAGAACACATGTGGACATTAAGACACGCTGTTATGTAACTTGCCACACTGTAATAAAAGTGTGGGAAAGTCAGCGAGTCTCCATGTTCACTTCCCAAGATAACAAGCAGCATGCAGAGTTTGAGAGGGGATTGTAACTAATGGGAACAGAGGACTGTTGACTTTTCCCAGCTCTTCAAATACTCTCTGAAGTGACCTTGTAAAACAAGGAAGGGAAAGAGAGGACAAGTGATAAAACGCTGCCTGTCACTTGGAGGGGCTGAGGACACGGTTTCCAACAGAGAAACCAACACACCGCTGAATGTAGATAAAGGATTGTCACAGAAACAGGCTAAAGATACAACTAAAGATACTAGGGAAATGTGTTTCTGATCAACTGGAACACCTACGCACAGGTTGCACCTCATACTATAGTATGAGGTGCAACCTGTGCCAAGGTACCTGTAATATTGCATTAAATGAAACAAGTGTAATAATAATTTCACTTGTTTCATTTAACGCAATATTACAGGTTTGTGCATCAAACCTGTAATATTGGTTTGCGCTTACTGTCTTGCCCCTAAAGACAGTGCCCTTCTGAACAACCTGAGATCTTCTGGCAGTGCAGACACTCCCAACCGAATAGCAGAAATGTACATAATGTTATTTATTTTCAACACCTTTTAATATTTTCTTTGCTTTTGTTTTATTCACCAGCTTAGTTGTCTTTTTATTTACTGATCAGTCTCTGCTTTTTTATAATTTGTTTATTGTATTTATTTATGTGCTTTGATTAAACTTGTATCTCTATGTGTTTCCAAGGTAGGGGTGGGAGGGGATGGGTGGGGCTTGGTGATGGTTAGGTATAAGAAATAAATGACTATGGAAGGAGGATCATTGTCTCAATTGTGACTGTCCTTCAATCAAAAACAACAAAAAAAAACCCTGAGATCTTCAACTAAAGTAATCAGAGCGTCCACACAGAGCAGTGGCAGCACTGATAAAAGGCGCTGACTCATGTGTCTTACCTGCATGTTGTTGAGTCGTGGCTTTGGGGCGGGGAAGAGCTCTCACTCTGCTCCTGTAAATCAAAGTCACAATCAATAACACTGCTCTCAGAGCACAGGAAGGCCACGAGACAATCTGGCACAACTGCTGATCAGTGTGTGAATGTGTGCTACCAGAGGAGGAGCTGTGAGGGGGGGTGTGGGGGGGTGCATCCTCATCTCCTCCTCTTCCTCTGTCACACTGCTGTCAATGAAGTCCACATGCCCAGCATCTCCATTCACTGCAGAGAACATAAAGGAGTGTTAACCTACATCTTGTATACAACACTGTTCGATAGCTCAGACATGGCCTTCTTTCCTCACCTTTGTTAGCTTCCAGAGGAGATCCATGCTCCTCTTCCTCCTCCTCTTCCTCCTCCAGGTTCCTCTGGTCTCTGCTGACCTCAGCTAATCGGAGGGAACGCTCCGAGAAGTCATCTGCTGACTGGACACATTCACAGTTCAGAGAAATTGATCTGTCGTCCAGGGCTAAGACTATTGGATAGGCAGGTACATGTGTATATATAGTTTAAATATATATGTGTATACGACCACTAATAGCAGTGTGACGCTATTTAGGCTATCGTGATTTTTTAAAAATGAAATATTCTGGATGACATTTTGACACACCGTCAATGTATATTTAGTTATTTTATTATTTCATGGAATTGTTTTATTATTTCATGTCAAATATGTCCGTCTACCTTTAAATGTTTATACGGGTCTTCAGGGGCCTCATTTATAAAGGGATATACGCTCAAAAAATGGCGTATGCCAGTTTCTACGCAATGTTTGCGATTTATAAAATACTAACTTGACGGGAAAACGTGCGGTCCTCCACGTAAACTCTAACCCATGCGTACGCACTAAGCACAACAACGGGAGAGACGAGAAACTGCGACACCGTTGGCAGAAGGAAGAATGGAGAGAAATATGTGGAAATAATACCATAAACAAAATGTTACCTCTCATTTATCATATATGAAGAATTCATTTTCAAACATTGATTAAAGCCAATCTTAAATGATTAAACAAACGCCTGTTTGAGACTCCTCAGTGCACACAAAAACATAACTTGGAGAAATAAATAAATACGGATATGTTATTTAAAACCACCTCGAATATGTTGTGTTGATGTTATAAATGTTTGCTCATAAATGATGCGGTAAGCAGGAGGACAGAATTACGTCTAACTGACGCCGTGTTGCATTTCTATAGGTTGTAGATACGAGCATGGTTTTATATACTATCATGTTTAATCATGTTTTATGCCGTTTGCCAAGACTTGATAAGTCGCTCGTAAAACACAGGAGGTATGGAAACTAAGAACACCATATGTGGTCAATTGTACAGCTATTTCCTTTAACTGGTGGATATATAGTTTTAGTGGGGGGGGGGTTGAGACGCACAGGCTGCAGTGGAGACGCTGCGCACAGCTGATCGACAGCTGGAACACAAACCACCAAATACAAAAACATAATTCAGATCCAGTTGTCATGACTCCACTCCGGAGGGATTCCCCAATCATTTCTTACAGTCTCTCATCAAGGGGGGGTCTCCTGTCCCCGGTACAAACACACTGCCTGAGGAAGGATATGTGTATTGTTTTTGTCATTAACCTTTTTCGGACCACTTATTTATTTATGTTGGTGACGATCCGACCTCCATGCTGCTACTCTGGTTCAAACTGCATCCATCAAACAATATGATTTATCTCGACCTCCCCAAAATAACCCACTTCTGACACGGTGTGAGATGTCTTTTTTAGCTGTTCTGTCGTCATTTCCTGCGATCTTCTTCATACAGTCAGTCAGAATGAATGAATGGGCGTTTCTTTGACTATTTATAGGCAAATATGGGCGTTACGTGAAGCCCGCAAAAGCTGCACCGCATTTCGAGTCGGTTGTGATTTATAAAGGGAAACCGGCGTAGGAAGTGCTGTACGCACTTTCCTCGCCGGTGCGCAATGTTTGGTGAATCGGAAAATGTCGGAACATTTCTGTACCTATTTCTTGGATTTCTACTACGTAAGCAACCTTCCCACGTGAATCCTACGCACGGCGTTATAAATGAGGCCCCTGATCTTAAAGTCGACAGAGTGGTGCAGTGATAACGTATCTTTGCTGCGCATGGGTTCCCTCAACAAAAAAGCAATTGGATTTCTCCTTGGTATTTTGGAATATTGTAAAAAATAAGGTCTGTGGAAAACTAACCTGTTTGATAAACGCACGTTTTGTTCAGCCGGGTAATACCCACATGTCTACCCTACTTTTATCATTTTCAAATCATAAATCTAATCGCCAGAAGCAAACGTTATGCTATAAACGAACTATAGCCGAGTCCAGCAGGGTCGCTGCTTCAACGTCACGCCAATTTAAGATCCATATTCAAACACACAGATTCTAAATGGTACAAGTTGAAGCGTTTGTTTGAACAGTTTGCAGGAGGCAGGAACTTGCTTTCAAGCAGAACAGGGCAAACAAACTTAGCGGGAGTGTTTACGTGTTCGGCGTAATGACGTACATCGTCCTCCACGACTTCTGTAGTCCTATTCAGCCACTTGGTAACAACCATCGTTTTTCAGACACGTCAACTCTTCAGAAATCATCAGTGGGTCACTGCTGATGGATTTAATGTCGAAGAACAAAACGTGATCCGTCTCTTAAATGTGTTTCAACCACAGACCTTATTTCCAGCTATCTTCCAAAATCTAGGTTAAAAAAACCCGTTGACTCTGAGACGAGGGAACCGGAAGTGGTAAAATGCTAACTCACTTCCTGGTTTTAGGACTCATCACTGCAACACTCTATTAAGGCATGTTAATAGGTGTTCTATTATTCCTATTGGCCAGCAGGGGCTGACTGCACTCGCTACAAAAAATGATGTATAGAAGTCTATGAGAAAATAACCCTACTTTTGTCATGATAAGTTAGCGCAGTAAACATTATGCTAATGAGTTTATGGTCTCAATCAATAACTAAGGTCTTATTTAATACAGCATGAAGTTCACTTTGTAAATGATGGTCCTGTTTAGAGTAAAGATAGACAATAAGAGTGATGTGTTGTAGGATGGGGCTAACTTTTGACTGTGTTGTCAGTAAACACATTTATCCTCTGAATATTTAGTCCATGGCACATTTCTTAGCATGAACATCAACACACTTCTGTCTGATCAACATGATGCAGTCCCTCAGGACATGTGAGGGCATTGTATAGTGAACATAGTTTTACCTCATTCCCAGACCAGCGTTTGCTGCCGCTGTCCACACTGTTGAAGCCAGAATCCAACCCTCCGAACTGACCTGTGAACAGCTCCTGTTCTGACAGACTGCAGGGAAACACACACACCATGTTTTACATTACTTCAGGGGACATTACATTGACTTACATGCATTTCCTGGAGACTTATCTTCACCATAACCAACACATGCCTAACTCTAACCAAATCTTCACCCTAGAATTAATGATTCCCCTTATGGGGACCACACACACACACACACACACACACACACACACACACACACACACACACACACACACACACACACACACACACACACACACACACACACACACACACACACACCACACACACACACACACACACACACACACACACACACACACACACACACACACACACACACACACCACACACACACACACACACACACACACACACACACACACACACACACACACACACACACACACACACACACACACACACACACACACACACACACACACACTAGTTTAAAGGGCAGTGACTGAGCTGTGAGTCTGATCTGGAGAGCATCAGATATTCTCTCTTATCTCTGTCCTGTCTATTTCATGGAAATGGCTCACTAGGCAGCTAAAAGGGTTTCCATTCAAGTTAATAAATATTTGCTAAACCGTGCTTCCTCTTAGTTAACATACCCTTCCTCTCTCATCATCCATTTCCTTATTCTTCATTTACTGTAACTCCAGCAATTCATCCTCTCACCTCATGTCCACGGTGTTCCTATTTTGAAAGGAGTGCCGTGCTAAAATGACGGTAAAAGGCACTTGTGTCTAACTGTCACTTAAATAGGACAGCATGCAATAGATTGCAACTCCTGTCACACTTTCCACATTCTGGATTGTGTTGAAGTGCCCTCTTTGTTTAGCTGTAAAACACGTTACACCTTGCAACTATGCATTACTGAGAAAATCACAACTTGGTAAAAGCAGAATAGTGTGAAGAAAAGCACAACCTCCCTTTTTATCCCACTGTCTCTCTAAAAACCAAAACCTACTGTAATATAATATCTAAAGTGCTTTTCTATACTTTGCTAAAGAAATACTTCTTCAGGCTTATTTTAGTTTTACCAAGGGTGATATGAGAAAATTGATATCAATGTATGTTAATAAAGCATGACGAGGTTAGCCAAGCTTAGGATAAAGACTGTAAGCAATACTCTACCTACCAATTCCTATTAAGCCTTTTATCACAAAGGGCCCTACAATGCTCATGTTCAGGTGTATATCATATCAGCATGTAGTGTCTCTACTTTAAAGAGTCCTCTCCTGCTCATGTTCAGGTGTATATCATATCAGCATGTAGTGTCTCTACTTTAAAGAGTCCTCTCCTGCTCATGTTCAGGTGTATATCATATCAGCATGTAGTGTCTCTACTTTAAAGAGTCCTCTCCTGCTGATGTTCAGGTGTATATCAGTATGTAGTGTCTCTACTTTAAAGAGTCCTCTCCTGCTGATGTTCAGGTGTATATCAGTATGTAGTGTCTCTACTTTAAAGAGTCCTCTCTTGCTGATGTTCAGGTGTATATCAGCATGTAGTGTCTCTACTTTAAAGAGTCCTCTCCTGCTGATGTTCAGGTGTATATCAGTATGTAGTGTCTCTACTTTAAAGAGTCCTCTCCTGCTGATGTTCAGGTGTATATCAGTATGTAGTGTCTCTACTTTAAAGAGTTCTCTCCTGCTGATATTCAGGTGTATATCAGTATGTAGTGTCTCTACTTTAAAGAGTCCTCTCCTGCTGATGTTCAGGTGTATATCAGCATGTAGTGTCTCTACTTTAAAGAGTCCTCTCCTGCTGATGTTCAGGTGTATATCAGTATGTAGTGTCTCTACTTTAAAGAGTCCTCTCCTGCTGATGATCAGGTGTATATCAGCATGTAGTGTCTCTACTTTAAAGAGTCCTCTCCTGCTGATGTTCAGGTGTATATCATATCAGCATGTCGTGTCTCTACTTTAAAGAGTCCTCTCCTGCTGATGTTCAGGTGTATATCATATCAGCATGTCGTGTCTCTACTTTAAAGAGTCCTCTCCTGCTGATGTTCAGGTGTATATCAGTATGTAGTGTCTCTACTTTAAAGAGTCCTCTCCTGCTGATGTTCAGGTGTATATCAGCATGTAGTGTCTCTACTTTAAAGAGTCCTCTCCTGCTGATGTTCAGGTGTATATCATATCAGCATGTCGTGTCTCTACTTTAAAGAGTCCTCTCCTGCTGATGTTCAGGTGTATATCATATCAGCATGTCGTGTCTCTACTTTAAAGAGTCCTCTCCTGCTGATGTTCAGGTGTATATCAGTATGTAGTGTCTCTACTTTAAAGAGTCCTCTCCTGCTGATGTTCAGGTGTATATCAGCATGTAGTGTCTCTACTTTAAAGAGTCCTCTCCTGCTGATGTTCAGGTGTATATCAGTATGTAGTGTCTCTACTTTAAAGAGTCCTCTCCTGCTGATGTTCAGGTGTATATCATATCAGCATGTCGTGTCTCTACTTTAAAGAGTTCTCTCCTGCTGATGTTCAGGTGTATATCAGCATGTAGTGTCTCTACTTTAAAGAGTCCTCTCCTGCTGATGTTCAGGTGTATATCAGTATGTAGTGTCTCTACTTAAAGAGTCCTCTCCTGCTGATGTTCAGGTGTATATCAGTATGTAGTGTCTCTACTTTAAAGAGTCCTCTCCTGCTGATGTTCAGGTGTATATCAGTATGTAGTGTCTCTACTTTAAAGAGTCCTCTCCTGCTGATGTGCAGGTATATATCAGTATGTAGTGTCTCTACTTTAAAGAGTCCTCTCCTGCGGATGTTCAGGTGTATATCAGTATGTAGTGTCTCTACTTTAAAGAGTCCTCTCCTGCTGATGTTCAGGTGTATATCAGTATGTAGTGTCTCTACTTTAAAGAGTCCTCTCCTGCTGATGTTCAGGTGTATATCAGTATGTAGTGTCTCTACTTTAAAGAGTCCTCTCCTGCTGATGTTCAGGTGTATATCAGTATGTAGTGTCTCTACTTTAAAGAGTCCTCTCCTGCTGATGTTCAGGTGTATATCAGTATGTAGTGTCTCTACTTTAAAGAGTCCTCTCCTGCTGATGTTCAGGTGTATATCAGTATGTAGTGTCTCTACTTTAAAGAGTCCTCTCCTGCTGATGTTCAGGTGTATATCAGTATGTAGTGTCTCTACTTTAAAGAGTCCTCTCCTGCTGATGTTCAGGTGTATATCAGTATGTAGTGTCTCTACTTTAAAGAGTCCTCTCTCCTGCTAATGTTCAGGTATATATCAGTATGTAGTGTCTCTACTTTAAAGAGTCCTCTCCTGATGATGTTCAGGTGTATATCAGTATGTAGTGTCTCTACTTTAAAGAGTCCTCTCCTGCTGATGTTCAGGTGTATATCAGTATGTAGTGTCTCTACTTTAAAGAGTCCTCTCCTGCTGATGTTCAGGTGTATATCAGTATGTAGTGTCTCTACTTTAAAGAGTCCTCTCTCCTGCTGATGTTCAGGTATATATCAGTATGTAGTGTCTCTACTTTAAAGAGTACTCTCCTACTGATGTGCAGGTGTATATCAGTATGTAGTGTCTCTACTTTAAAGAGTCCTCTCCTGCTGATGTTCAGGTGTATATCAGTATGTAGTGTCTCTACTTTAAAGAGTCCTCTCCTGCTGATGTTCAGGTGTATATCAGTATGTAGTGTCTCTACTTTAAAGAGTCCTCTCCTGCTGATGTTCAGGTGTATATCAGTATGTAGTGTCTCTACTTTAAAGAGTCCTCTCCTGCTGATGTTCAGGTGTATATCAGTATGTAGTGTCTCTACTTTAAAGAGTCCTCTCCTGCTGATGTTCAGGTGTATATCAGTATGTAGTGTCTCTACTTTAAAGAGTCCTCTCCTGCTGATGTTCAGGTGTATATCAGTATGTAGTGTCTCTACTTTAAAGAGTCCTCTCCTGCTGATGTTCAGGTGTATATCAGTATGTAGTGTCTCTACTTTAAAGAGTCCTCTCCTGCTGATGTTCAGGTGTATATCAGTATGTAGTGTCTCTACATGTCTCCATGCGTTAATGTTCAAAAAGATCTTTATTGTTCTCATACTGCCTGTGCTGCAGCACCTCTTTTCACCCTCTGTCTGAAACCAGAGCCCAGTCTGCTCCGATTGGTTAGCTGGCCGGCTCGGTTGTGATTGGTCAACAGCTTAGAGATGTCCCGCCCCTTAGCCTTTAATGTACAATGTGTTGGAGCGCTAGCCAATAGAAGTGTAAGTGTTCCATAGTGATGTCACTATGGTCCGAAAGAAAACAAAGGAGTCCAATGGAGGTTTCACGGGGGAGAAAGACTACAGCAAACGGTTCACCTGAAAAGCTAAAAGGGCCCCTCTGTTCTGTTGTATCTCTATATGTTGTTTGTAGCTGTAGTCCGAGTTCAGTGCCAGGACTATTTCTTGACAAGCAGTTTTTCCATCACGTTAGTACCACATCTCCGGCTTCATCCTTCCTGCTCCTCCCTAACCAGCTCCTTTTTTAATTGCCTTTACTCTGCCTTCCACCTTTAGCTCCTCCCCCTCTCCTCGTCATCCTCACCAGCTGTTGAACCCGGTGGGCCTCAGGTGTCTCTCCAGCTCCTCTTGGTTTCTCTTGCAGGCCTCCATGTTGAGATACTTGAAGATGTGGTATTTTCCCTTGGAGCAGATCTGCGCCGGGGGCATCTGCAGCGGGTTGTTGTCCAGCAGGACGGTCTGCAGGTGCCGCAGGTGGCGGTAGCACAGGGGCACATGGGAAATGCGGTTGCAGGACACATCGAGCCGGACCAGAGGGAGCTCGGATATTTCTGGATGGTACAGAAAGACGGAATCAGTCAGTCTCATTAGGGCTTGAAATTGGTGATCCTTAACAAAACATAAATGTATTTATCAAATCTCCTATATACATATGGATGTTATATAAAAGATATTTTTTATCAACCACATGTCAAAGGCCAGCGTTATTTCATCTTAATTCTTATGCTGCGTTCACACCGGACGCGATGCGAATATTCGCTTCGCTCTAATCGCTCCTATCGCATCGCTCTAGTCTAATGGTGCGTTCACACCGGACGCGATGCCAATATTTGCTTCGCTCTAAACGCTCGAGTTTCACCGCGGCTGCCAGGTGTGTTTACTCGCATCATTCAAACAAGACGCGCTGACTCGGGAGCTACAACTACAACAAAATGAACATATTTGACCGTGATTAAATTTTAATACACGTTTCTAAATGATGCCGAAGTAACAACATACTGATACCGGTTAGTAAAAACCATGAATTAATGCTTTGACAAGTCTGCAGACAGACGGCAGGCGAAAAACCTTTTTAAAAAGCTTGTTAGGGGGGGGGTGACGAGCTCGATGCTCGTGAACTGTCAACAGGAGGGCGGGGGAGCCTCGCTGCGGGGAAGCAGTGAGTGGACCTGTCAGCGCAACTTTCATTGGGGATGCTCCGATCGCCGATCCGATCGAGTGGGCAGGGCCTATGGGGATCTTCCATTTAAAGTGATGTTTAAAACTCAGTTAATGGGGCTCATTCACTGGCCCTTCCACAAACAACAGCCAACATAATTATTACATTCAAATGAAGTACATTTTTCAAGTTTACATTAACTTTGGATAATAACACGGGAGAGATGAGCGGAAGCGCTCTCTTTTCCTCTCTCCCTCTCTCTCTCCTGACAGCCTGTCAGTATCTCATGCAGCTCACTGATCCAGTAATGAGTGACCCGACAGTGAAGAATACATATATTTATAACTAGTTCCAGAGGTAGGCCTAGATAAAATAGCTAAGTGTGTTAGGTCTAACTCTTGTGTGTTGCTCCGCTCAGTGGTCCGTCTCAGCGGGTGGAGCTGCAGGATTTCTGCTTCACACACACGTTGCATTCCGCTATTTTATTGTCATTTTCGGACACCTTAAAATAATGCCAGACCGGTGAAGCCATTTTGGCGAGCTTGTTTTGCCACGCACTGAGAAAAGTGTCATGTATTTTACGTCATGCGATCGGCTCTCGCGATCGGCATTTTTAGAGAGCACTGATCGATCGGTGGAGGGATGAGTATCGGCCGATATCGATCGCCACGCAAAAACTGCGGCATTTGTACAGCTCCGTATGGGTACTGCAATTAGTGAAGTGTTTTCCTCTGTGGTGAAACGATCAGCACTGCACCACGGAGGAAAGCGGCAGAAAGTCGCCTGGAGTTAAAGAGAGCGGGGCTGCGTTGCGTGCATGGCTTCCTTCTGCAGGTAACGGGGAGACGCGCTCTGGAGGTGGTCTCGTTCAGGATCCGAAAAATTAAATTTAAATATTTTGCAAACTTATTCCACTTATTTCCTAGTGTGCCACTGGTTATGGTGCCGCGTGCCAATGGTGGCATGCGTGCCAGGGGTTGCCGACCCCTGCTCTAAACGCTCGAGTTTCACCGCGGCTGCCAGCTGTGTTTACTCGCATCATTCAAACAAGACACGCTGGCTCGGGAGCTACAACTACAACAAAATGAACATATTTTACCGTGATTAAATTGTAATACACGTTTCTAAATGATGCCGAAGTAACAACATACTGATACCGGTTAGTAAAAACCATGAGTGAATGCTTGACAAGTCTGCAGACAGACGGCAGGCGAACAACCTTTTAAAATGCTTGTTTTCTGAATGGAGATCGGGTCGACCAGGCTAAGCTAACGTTGTATATGCTCACTCCACACTCATAACAACGGCCTACAGACATAAATAAACCAGCCACTGTATTCACCATGACACAGACAGTCTGTGGTTTGTACTTGTTTAACTTTTGTCCAGTTTCTGAACAGATATGAGGAGCTATGATCTCTGTGTGCTAACTGCTAACAGCGAACGTTTTCTGGTTGAACGTCAGTGACGGCAGGCTGAGATCCTCATCGCTGATTGGCTTCCGCGGGAACGCGTCACGTGAATTTGACGCTCGAGTTGAAAAAATTGAACTCTCGCATTTGACGGTGCACAGTTCAATCGTCTCAATCGCGTGATTCGCGCCGCGTCCACCGCTTCATGCTCGCCGTCGGAGCGAATTCGCATCTGTCCGCGTCTCTGCATTGACTTTACATGTAATCACTCCGCCCCCCAACATCGCATCGCGTCCGGTCTGAACGCAGCATTACTTTTACATTTGCACACATTGCCAATAAAATTAAACTTAGACATTTTAGCACTTTATTTATTTGTAATTGCAACTTCCTATAGTTTTTTGACTGCCTCTTTAACCTCTGTCAGCTGCAAATATTCAGCAACTCCTTCATACACTGAACAAAAATATAAACGCAACACTTTTGTTTTTGCTCCCATTTTTCATGAGGTGAACTCAAAGATCTAAAACATTTTTTATATACACAAAATAACCATTTCTCTCAAATATTGTTCACAAATCTGAAAAGATCTGTGATAGTGAGCACTTCTCCTTTGCCGAGATAATCCATCCCACCTCACAAGATGCTGATTAGACAGCATGATTATTGCACATGTGTGCCTTAGAATGGCCACAATAAAAGGCCACTCTGAAACGTGCATTTTTGCTTTATTGGGGGGGTCTGGGGGGTCCGAAAACCAGTCAGTATCTGGTGTGAGGGGTAGGGGTAGGGGTAGGGGTAGGGTTAGGGTAATGTTGTGAATCGAGTGGCCCATGGTGGTGGTGGGGTTATGGTATGGGCAGGCGTATGTTATGGACGACGAACACAGGCCACTCGATTCACAACATTACCCTAACCCTACCCCTACCCCTCACACCAGATACTGCCTGGTTTTCGGACCCCCCCAATAAAGCAAAACTGCACGTTTCAGAGTGGCCTTTTATTGTGGGCAGCCTAAGGCACACCTGTGCAATAATCATGCAGTCTAATCAGCATCTTGATATGCCACACCTGTGAGGTGGGATGGATTATCTCGCCAAAGGAGAAGTGCTCACTATCACAGATGTTTTCAGATTTGTGAACAATATTTGAGAGAAATGGTTATTTTGTGTTTATAGAAAATGTTTTAGATCTTTGAGTTCATCTCATGAAAAATGGGAGCAAAAACAAAGGTGTTGCGTTTATATTTTGTTCAGTGTAGATGTTTCATATTCAACAACTCTAACACCAGTGCAGAGATGGACAGGCTACTTTTAACAGTTGTGGCCAAGTTTGAATTTAGAAAAAGGAGGTGCCAGTCCACTTGAAGTCTGTGTACTTTCAAAAGTGTATTCCTTTACATTTCCTCCTAATGAGCCAGAGAATGAGGCACTAATTGTGTAAGGGCCATTAGTCAGTAAGTCGGAAGCTGGTCAATACTAACAATCAACATCGGCACCTCAGTTGTTTCCCCGACTCAGACTGCAAGGAATCTGGGTGTGACCCTAGATAACAACCTGTCCTTCACTGCAAACATCGCTGCTACAGCCCGCTGCTGCAGATACACGCTTTACAACATCAGGAAGATACGTCCCCAGCTGACTCAGAAAGCGACTCAGGTTCTGGTCCAGGCTCTCGTCATCTCACGCCTAGACTACTGCAACTCCCTCCTGGCTGGTCTACCTGCATGTGCCATCCGACCTCTGCAGCTCATCCAGAATGCAGCGGCTCGTCTGGTCTTCAACCTTCCTAAATTCTCCCACACCACCTCCGCTCCTCCGCTCCCTTCACTGGCTTCCGGTAACTGCTAGAATCCACTTCAAGACACTGGTACTTGCTTACCATGCTGTGAATGGATCTGGCCCTTCCTACATTCAGGACATGGTTAAACCGTACACCCCAGCACGTGCACTCCGCTCTGCATCAACCAAACGGCTCGCTTCACCCTCGCTGCGAGGGGGACCCAAGTTCCCATCAGCAAAAACACGTGGGTTTGCTGTCCTGGCTCCAAGATGGTGGAATGAGCTCCCCATTGACATCAGGACTGCAGATAGCTTAATACACACCTTCCGGCGCAGACTGAAAACTCATCTCTTTCGACTCCACTTCGAGCAATAGAACTATTAACAAAGCACTTATATACTAATAAAGGACTGGCTTATCTAAAGCCAGTTGAGTAGCACTTGAAATGTTTTTGCTCTATGAAACCTGATGTACTTATATGATTCTGTTTTCTTCAAGGTTGTATTTTGTTGGTCTAACGCACTTATTGTAAGTCGCTTTGGATAAAAGCGTCAGCTAAATGCAATGTAATGTAATGTAATACTTCTACATGAAAATAATCCTTAGCTCAAAACAATGATGCAATGATCCTTTACATTAGCATCCATTATGGTTTGATCAGGGTGTGGGAGATACTTTGCAGGCTTAGGGGAGCTCAGTGGATAAAAGATTGTTATAATATTCTACATTTATAGATGATATATCGATGAGTCTTTTCAAATCACTCCATGGGGACTGGACAAAGACATTGCTGAGGTTTCTGGGGTCAGTTGAGCAGGCATTTAGAAAAGCTGTACGTACTGGTGCAATATGAGCTGAGATGATCAAACTGGGTTTATTGTGGGAAAGAGAAATGTAAAGGAGGTCAAAGGATGTTCCAATGAGTCTCTACCTTCAGGCAGAGTGGTGAGCTGGTTCCTCCTCAGGTTCAGATCCCTCAGAGACTCCAGCTGTCCGAGCTCTGCTGGCAAACCCTGCAGCTCATTGCAGCTCACATCCTGAGAGACAAGCACACACAAACAATATTCAATTCAAGGCTTTATTGTCATTTGGACATTAGCTACAGTGTAAATATAGCAATGAAAAACTGAAGTCACAGGCCGTTTCTCAATGTTGAGTATACCTGCTGCAGAGCCACTATTTCAAGTATACTACGTCATCAAGTGGCGCCGAATGTGGGGCATTTAACATGCATTTAAACAGTCCTTCGGCGCCACTCGATGACGTTGTATACTTGAAATAGTGGCTCTGCAGCAGGTTTAGTCGACATTGAGAAACGGCCACAGGCTCCTCCAACAATGCAACTTATATATTTCCAAAACTGACCACCATGTTTAATACGTGTCTTTTTAAAAGTCTATGACCCACAAATACTGTGTACTGTGATGTTAAAGACAGTTGAGAAAGTGCTGCGTGGCCATAGAAACAGGCAAAAAGAAAACATGGCTGCCGAAAGAGGAGCGATTATGCCAACAGTGTGGAGGAACTGCTTTGGAAACAGAGCAGCACTTCCTCATACAATGCCCTGAATTCAAACCCTGCATGGAAAGAATTCTTACCAAAATTCAATAATGGGCATCCTCAATTATTTTTTAAAAAGATTTTAAAAATCTGACTAGGTGAAATTAAAGAAGTCTGTCTGCCTGCCACAACATGAGTCAGAATGACTGAGCCCCAGCCCTCACAACTCTTATTTCTATTATTTTATTTTGAATGTTTTATGCATTTTCCCATTAGCATTATCTTGCACTATAATAAATAGCTCACCTAATCTTTTTGTAAGTTAATTTTCTAGTTCATGTTTAAAAAGTATATGGTTTTCCCTGTGAAGAAAACTTAACAGTACATTACAAATGTATATTTATCTATAGATGACGTAATAGTACGAAGCTTTGGCAATACTGTATGTCATTATGGTCATGCTAACAAAGCTATTTGAATCGGAGGAATCCTAGAAATCGGTGTGTGTGTGTGTGTGCGTGCGTGTGCGTGTGCGTGTGCGTGTGTGTGTGTGTGTGTGTGTGTGTGTGAATCATACCAGCTGCCGGAGGTGTGTGAGGGAGTATATGGAGGCAGGTAGTGAACACAGCTTGTTGTTGCTCACTATGAGCACTCGCAGGAGGGGAAGCTGAAACACCGATGGGGGTAAACTGGACAGAAGATTACGACTGTGGAGGAAAACACACACGCACACACAGTGATGTTATTTAAAAGGCATTGAGTTTCAAAGATGTGATCACTGATACATTCTTTGAGTTAGATTAATAACAATTCAGACAAGTAAAAACAATGTGTTACAGTGAGAATATACAAGCTGGCCTATGAACAATGTGCAGCTACATATCATCTTTTCAAACATTTTATTCAGTATATTTGCACTCTTGCTGCCTATATGAATAGCCACCGTCTCCTAGCAACAGTAACATTATAGTATGGAGGTGTGTAGTTGTAAGAAGGTTTTACAGGATGTGTACGGCCTCCCTTCATCTCCAGCATAAACAAACACTGAAGTTCAAACAGCTGCACTTTAAAAAGGCACCTACAATCTGCTAACTGAGAAATGGATGCAAAGTGTTGACTGTAGTAGCTTGAAGAGAAACTTTTTAAAGGATAGTGACAACGATCTACAATTTGGTATTATCATGAATTTAAAAGACCCACTTACTGGTTAAACTTTGACCTTTTCCACAGCTGAGTGCAAACTGTGCAATACAAGATCTTCACAATCATTTTGGGTGCACTCCTTTTCATCTTTTCCAAATAAATGTATGTACATTAGAGGAAAATGCTGGATAATAAATTCCATAACTTCATAGGTTCTTTCTATGTTATTTACACTTAACTTGGTGAAGTCTGGTGCATTTTCCGAATGATTACCCATCCAAACCAGTTTTTAACTGCAGAGCTAATAGAAATGACGTATGAATCTTTGAAAACATGACCAAAGTTGTAAGGAACGCAAATGATTTTCTTTAAGTGGAGTTGTCCAGACTGGAGGCGATGGAGCCATCAGTGTGTCAGATGCGAGTTTTGTGTGTTAGGCCCCTTTCAGAAGGGTACATTTTAAATGTGAACTTTAGAGACCTATACAACTAGTGTGAATGTCATTAAAAGTCCAATAGAATGAGGGGATTAGATGCAGACCGTGGTGCTGAGTTACCTGAGGTTGAGGTAGGTGAGGGCCTGCAGGTTGCCCAGGCTGGAGGACAATGAACGCATCCCATTGTGGTAAAGACTCAGCGTCTCCACGGAGATGAACTGACACAGCTCCTCCGGCAGCTCACACAGGCGGTTCTTGGACAGATCTGACGACAGACAAAACGACCAAACATTAGACTGGTCCATCAGAGTTAATCCAGTATTCATGCGGCAACCACCCAGAGAACAGTGAGACACCATCGGAAAGTAATGAACAAACTTTCTACAAACTTTTAAACTTGGGATGGAATTTCAGTAGGAATGGCAATAGCAAAATATCTCGCGATTGTTGTAGGCCAGATTTCTTTTTGATTTATTTAGTGGAATTTCAGGAAAGAGAGCTTCAGGTAGGGTGAAGCATTTAATTTGTTCTCAAAAACGAACATCTATGAATCAACTAAGGTGCACAGGTGTAGAGAAGAGAGCTTTGGGGCATCTTGGAGATTCAGCGGTTAAAAAATCAAAACCATGAACACCAATGTACCATTTCTAAATTGTGTTCCATGTCATTAACCTATGCCCTCATGTTTCCTGTCACTTCCAATTTTGAAATAATGGCATTATGCCATTCAAAATAATAATAATAATAATGAAGGAGAGCTTTCAATAGAAATGAAACTTTTTTGCCCTCGAGACAATCAACAAAGAATTTGATGGAATCAAAAACAAATGTTTCCAAACCAAGACCAAAAGTCTTGGGAAAGCAAATGTAGGTAAAGAGTTTAGTTAGATGGGTGCATACGTGAGTTGGAAAAGTACTTCCATTTAAGGTTGAGTATTCACCCGAAAGAACGAAATGTAAATGGCATCAGCAGAGGCCCAGATATCCTGACTGCTGGTCCAAAGTATGGGTTAGGCCAGTGGTTTTCAAACTGTGGGGCGAAGATTTTTTTATTTGATTATTTTCCCCTTGTAGCTTTGTGAAGCACCTTGAGAGATGACGTTGTTTTTAAAGTGTGCTATATAAATCAAATGTATTATTATTATTATTCAATTGTAAACTAACACTGCTCGAAAATATCTCATTGGTCAGAGAGCTGTGGGCATAACGCTGCCTTTTGCAACATCCTACTTGTGTGAATAGGCTTTTTCTGCTGTTGCTGCCATCAAAACCAAATACAGATCAAAGCTGAACATTGAGAATGAACTGAGAGGCAGTCTCAAAACAACAGCCCCGCTTTGAGAAGATCTGCGAGGGACAGCAAGCACACACAAGTCATTGATAGGCTATGTGTGGAATAGGAATGGTAACGTGATGTGATCGTTTGCAACCTGCAGTAGAAATAGTAGTTCATTCATATATTTTCCTTAAAGACATTTGGATTTAAAAATCTACTACTCAGGGAAGAAGGCCAACCAGTTTTAATTAGGCCAAATGAATTCACAGTATCTATTACAAGCACTTTTGTTCAAGTGTAATCCATAATAAAATATACAATTATAGTTGGATCTTTATATCTTCTTATTATCAGCAGAGAAAAATGTAATGTTTTTACAACAATATACAATTAATCCTACCAATATAGATGGGAACCGGGTTGGGGGAGGTCCCGAAAATATTTCCAATACCCAAGGGGGTCCCGACTGAAAAAGTTTGGGAACCACTGAGTTAGGCAGAATCCTACAATTCCCATGACGGCACCTTATAATATCTTTTGTTACACTTCTATTGCCCGCGGCATGTAACATAAGCTTTCTGTGACCATTTTTTAGTATCTAACCTCCAACAGAGATCTTAACCCAGGTGACATCAATCAAATTCATACTTTGGTTTTATGTTGTGCCGCTTTGTGCCAAACGACAGCATCTACACTCTTTTTTTAAATCACAAGCGTCGGGAACCCACACGGATCTGACAGAATCTTGGCCAACACTCATCCCGCTCTGAGCAAACTGGGTGAGCAATGCCTAAAGGAGCTCTAGGCTGCTTTCTGTTCACAGTTACTCTACATACTTTCAATTGACTTCTTTGAATATAGCCATCCATTTTAGAGATTCTTTTTTTTGGAAAGATTGGGTTAGATGTTAAAAGTCAGGAATGTATTTCCACCAATAATACTAGTATTGTTCAAGTTTTAGCACAGATATGAAGTCGTGTTTTGATGAATGCAACATGCTTTCAATTAGAGTTGAACCAAATTAAGAATAAATTCCCCTGTGATGCTACAGTATGACACTAATTGTTTTTGTTCATGTAAACATTTTGGCATTTGCCTGCCGTGGAAAAATACGAGTCAGTTTACTTTCTGCCCTTTTATACCATATGTAATCATGGGTAAATCATGACAACACTGGATTCATGTCTAAACAAAAATAAGCATTATTTGCAGCCCTTAATTATTTGCTTATGATTGAATTCTCTATTTTCTAATTTCTTTGATTTAAAAAATAAATAATTTAAGACGCAATGAAAGTACAAAAGAAACAACACACATTCTCAAAGCTCTAACAATAGATCTGGGTTTTTTTTACCACTTTTGCAGTCAATCAATCAAATTCCTCTCAAAACCAATATATTCTGTTTCACTCCTCCAAACCTCACATTAACAACAATGAAGATGTACCGATAACTGAGATGTATTGGGGGATGTAAATCCCTGTTAATGGCAGATTCATTATAGACATCATCCCCCACCATCCTCTTTATATGTTGCTTCTCCTTAACACCTACCTTTAGGCAGCCACTGTTCTCCAACCCCCCCTCCTAATGACAGTAGTGCTGGGCGTGCTCATATTGACCGTGTCATTAACATATCCTCTTCTCTGTGTGGCCTGAACTCTACATCAGGCTGTGTGTGGGATAAAAGAATAGTGAGCATGCAGCAGACACAATAAAGCATCAATAGATTGTCTATAGCCGCAGTGGTTCCAAATAGCAGCATTAGCACGGAGCGCTCACTGGCAGCAGCACGAGACAGAAGCCTGTCAATGGCAGACAGCCCAATGGCTCTATTGATTCTTGTTGGAAGTAGCAGGGCTTCCTCTCTTTGTTAGGGCTTCTATGGAGCCTTTTATTTTTGCAGTATGAAAAATGACAAAGATCAGAAAGAAAGAATACATCTTTGACTGTTGTGTACAGTAAGATGGCATATAGTAACAATGGGGCATGGTGTATGGAGTATAACTCACTGATATGACACATTGTGCAGCTACATTGGAATAGATTTCTTGTACAGTTAAATGACTGTTTTTAGTATGGATTTCGTTTTGGCTTCCGGTTTCATCTTAAGAGTTGTTTCTTTATGACCATTATCAGTCTTTGTTTTTAAGATATACAGGATACAGAACTGCGGCTGATTATTTGATGGCCAGGAAATTAATCAGCCACTTTTCTAATAACTACTTAATGGTTTTGTCAACATTGATTCGTTACAGTACATTTGTGCACTGCTTTCTCTTATGTGAGAGTAAAGTAGATACTTTTATTTTTTACACAGTGTCAGACAGGAAAGCAATCTGAAGGCATTTTAAGCCAATTCTCACTACTTTTGACATTCTAAAACAAAACAATAAAAAAGATATTCTAATAAGTTATTACTAATTTAAAAACCAAAACAAATCTTTCTCTGATCTCTAAAATTAGCTAATAACTGATCATACGTATGAATAAGAAAGGAAGTAAATGAAGGGAAATGTGGTCTAACTATTTGTTACTACTACAAACTTAACCAATAAGCCATGTACTATATTATAGAGACAAAGACGAGACCGAGTGTTTCATATTCACCCATTCACATGGCCTAATAAATACAGCCCCATGGTTCATTGTGTGTGTGTGTGTGTGTGTGTGTGTGTGTGTGTGTGTGTGTGTGTGTGTGTGTGTGTGTGTGTGTGTGTGTGTGTGTGTGTGTGTGTGTGTGTATAAAATGTGAGAGTGGCTAGATGATACTGTACAGTAGCTCTAAAGCCTGATCTCTCCCCGTCTTCACTGTCCCATAGCTGGAGGGGGGCTGTCTGAACAATAGATGGGGGTTGAAATAGCAGTGAAACGTGAGTGTGTGTGTTTGTGTGTGTGTGTCTGCTCTGGGGGATGGAAGGGTTGTCTAACCTCCGTTTTTGTTGTTGCAGAAAACTACACATCTGAGAGCTTTAGTTTGGTTTAAAAACAGAGAGATGGTTTGGATGGAACTTATTTCTACTACAAACATATTTGCTGCACAACACATGCATACACACATTTGTAAAGTAATACTAATACTTGTGAGCACCTTGCAATGACTACATTTATGTCCCGGCCACACGAGGACGAAAACGGTCGTTTGCGTTACTGTTTAGTGTCATATAGACCGTTCGGCCACACGAGGACGACCGAATACGGCACTAAACGACTGCGTAAACGATAACGGGTCCCAAGGTGGATAGAACGGCATACGCAACGCTCTGGGGGGTCCAACGGCTCCGTGTGTACGCCCTATACGATCATTTTCTGATAATGATGAGGCAATAGCCCCGCCTCTCCCCACCTCTGCTGCTCACCCCGCACACTAAATTCAGATTATTTATCTTTCTCTCGATATGGACATAAACGCGAGTGAAGTCTAATCTGACAGGACGGAGACACGCAGCTCTGCTTACCTGTAGCTCCTCCCGCTGTGATGCGGCGGTGAACGGAGTAAAACACACACTTCAAGTCCGATCATCACCCGTAGCTATTTGAATTACCTCTCAAACTACCTAAACTAGATATAAATATGTTTATTTTTACTGTCGGCCGGGTCACTCATTACTGGATCAGCTGCTGCATGAGACAGACACTGGCGCTGTCCGAAGAGAGGGAGGACAAAGAGAGGCTCCGTGTATTTTATTATTATAATATATAGATTCGTTATTTATTTGTTTTAAAGCTCAATAAATAACAAAGAAGACCTTTGACCGGCACTTTTATAATTTTGTCGGAAGATTTAAACTTTATTACACGTTGACTGGCGAAAAACTCTGCCCGGTTCCCTCGGCCCCCACCGCGGAGAATAAACAGAAGGGCAACCATGGCAACCATGCTTCTTCGCTGCTTTTGTGGAGGAAGTTACAGCGCCACGTACAGGCTCTGCATATGTACTGCAGCTTCTCCAGCGGTTGGAGCTAAACGGAGCTGTCTCGTGTGGACAGA